TGGTGGGTGTAGTGAATGTACAGTCAATTTGCATGTTTCTCTTCTATTAGATAGGATAAAACTTACCCAGTGTCAATAGCTTTGCCAAGGAAGCACAGTAGATTTTATGTGAAGCTCAGTGCCTGCCTATTAATAGAAGCCTCCTGAAGGGCTATGCACAAAAGGAATCCGAGGCCATGCCCAGGCTCAGGGGGAGTGGGTGCCATGATTGATCACTCATTTCTTTTGTGGAATCAGGAAAGAGAATAGAGGCCGCTGTACCATGCTGACTCCACCTGTCTTAGCATTAAAACATGGCAAGTGAAACACAAGTGACACAACACAGACCACCAACCACTCTTTCTCTCTTAGCCCCGGGTTTTACTGATTAACTGGTGGCTTTGTTTTCATCCCTTTCCACTGCTTTCCTTCCTGGGCCTTAACATTCACTACCAAATGGCTCGAGCACTTCCCGCACACAGTTCTCCAGTGGAAGCAGGGATGTGCACGCACAGTCCAGGTCTCAAGTGGAAGGTAATTTGACGCCATCTGGACTCATCACCAGGTGTCAGGACCAGCAAAAGGGTAAAGAAGAGAAAGGAGAAGCAGTGAGCGGCCTGCTGCTCCCTCCTCCCACCAGTTTCCCATGCAGGGCTCAGCAAGGGCCCTCGGCTAAATCCGGCCGGGCTACAAGTTTCTGGAACAAAATTTGATTGGAATTTTATAACCGTCATGCCCAATAGTTTACATATTGCCTCTGGCAGCTTTTGGAGGAGTTCTAACAGGACTTGGAAACCTAACGCATCAAATCTCTGGCTTTTGCAGAAGTTTGTGGACCTCTGCTTCCAACCAGTGGTTCTTAAAGTTCTGCTAGCATCAGAACTCTGGGAAGGCTTTTAATAAAGAGGGTGCTGCCGAAACCGGTTTGGCTCAGCGGATAGAGCGTCGGCCTGCAGACTGAAAGTTCCTGGGTTTGATTCTGGTCAAGGGCATGTACCTTGGTTGTGGGCACATCCCCCGCTGACCGATGATTCTCTCTCATCGATGTTTCTAACTCTCTATCGCTCTCTCTTTTCCTCTCTGTAAAAAATATCAATAAAATATATTAAAAAAAAATAAAAAAAAGAGGGTGCTGGGCTCTATCCCCCGAATTTCTAGTTGGAGTGCAGCCTGAGAATTTGCGTTTCTAACAGGTTTCAGGTCATGCTGAGGTTGCTGGTTTGGGGACTACACGCTGAGAACCACTGCTTCCCAGTAGTAAATTTCAGCCCTCGGGATGCCGTGCCTGGATCAAAGCAAACACTGTTAGCTACACATTCAAGGGATTATATCAGGTCTGCGTCAGGTTGGATTATCATCACTCTTATGAAACCTTATTTTTGTCCTATGGGTTTTCTCTTTGTGTTTTTCCTCTCTGCCCAGGCCTTTCAGATAAGAAATTTATTTTTAAAAACGAGACTGACAGTCTTCTTATTGTCTTGAGGTAAACTGTGTTAAAACTTTGGCACTCAGCTTTTTTTTAAGAATATGCAACTACTCTAATCATGACTACCCTTTTTCTTTGCTTTACTCCTCTATCGATCCTATTGCTGCACCATAGCAAATAAGTAATTTGAGGCCACAGTATTAGTTTCCCTTGCTTGCGTGAAAGCTTTGACCGGAAGGGAAGCTGTTTGCTTTTTACCTGTCAGCAAAGTGACTGCATACATCAGCTTGAAGTAGGATTTAGGGAGAAGTTGAGGTTGGATCTGCTTGAAGTGGTAGTTACTTTCTCCGCTTGATGAGTTAGGTCTTTCCAAAATTGTTTTATTATTTTGATAGAAGTGTTGTGACTTAATTATTAATTATAAGTGATCCTGTCTGTTAATTATTAGAGTAACAGACAGGATCACATATAACAAAGGCAAAAGCAGGTTCAATGAGAAAATTTTTTGTAAGATCCACCATTCAGAACTATCCATGTGGCTTCTCCCTTCCAGTCTTACACAAATGTAAATGTAGCTGCCTATGGGTTTACCATAGAAGAAAAGCTTGATATATTTAATTTTGAATGTTAAGTTCCTAAGAGGCAGCACTATATTTACTTTATTAGATGACCAGCTATCAGTAAAGTGCCATATCCACCCAAATGCTTAATAAATATGTGCAAGAATATTTCTTTCCCCCCTTTTCTCATACTGTGCTTATCAGGGTCCATGGTTCATGGGAGAAACTATCAAGGGATAATGACAGTTTCTAAATCAGAGGACTCTAGATTTACAGATCAGCTTATTTCTCTCATTTTCTGCCTTGGAAAAAGGAAAATTGGTAATAAGGACATATGATTCATTCATCATTCAACTTTTAAAGAAGACAGAACAGGCGCTGATAAACTCATCATCCAATTTTTTAAAAAAACATGAAAATCGATGGTCCCTTTGAGTGAAGGATAAGGAAAACAACTCCCAAATCTATAAATTGTGCAGCCAGAATGAAGTATTACCAGGCACTCTTTAAATATAAAATGTACTGCTTCTATCCATTTATTATAGATTTTATGCCTCCAATATGTTCATAATGTATTACAATGCTAAAGTTTATTCCTCCTCTGTTTATATATTTAATGCAGTCCTCCCTCAGAAGATTTGAAGATGGCTAAAGGAAAGGTTATATTTCTCCTTGATAATAATAAAATACTACAGTGCTACACATAAGGGAAGTGAGCTCCGAGTTTGTGGCTGATGCCGTGCAGTATTTCATGGTGCAGTGAGGATGCTCTTGTTGACAGTGACTTCTTTCAGCATCATCACTTTTCCGCCTTAGAACCTTCTCGTGGAACGTCATCTTTCGGATCTGGATAATTAAAAATAAAATACTTTCAGAAAAATAGATATTCTAAAGAATATCTTAGGTTCAACAGTCTGACCCATGGCTCCTTATCTCTGGGTCTGTTCTTGTTCATCAGTCTAAGGTGTTCACCATTTTCCTTAGATGAGTGAGATCATCTTAGGAAACCAAACACATCTAATTATTGTGTATTTGCTTTAATATCAAATGGTTAATGACATGACTCACAGAAAATGACAGAGTTATTTCTATTTAAAGGTGTATGAGCAAAGCTAATGTATGGTGTTAGAGGGTTGAATGGCTGCACCAGTTATACCTGGAAGGCAGTTAGTTCCTTGGAAGGGCATGAGAAGTCTGTTGAGGAGAAGGTTTTCTAATCTTTTTGACCGCCTGAGATTTTTTTTTTTATTTGTAAAATGAGATTAATAATAACTATTTTGGAGGTTCATTGTGAGGATAATGTGTTAGACGCTCAATAAATACTAGTTTCTTTCTTCCGTTCCCTGGAGTTACACATTCTTGAGAACCCAGTGCTACATGCTCTCTTGAGTTCTCTGCAGCGTCTAGGATGGAGTAGGCCTTCTATCCATACATGTTTAATCCACAGACAAATTTAGCACAGAGCAAGACACACCACCTGTTATTAGTAAAGTGCTGTCTTACAACTCTTTGATGTTTCTATGACAAGTTTTAATAAATGATGGTGAGGATCTTTAGGAATTTAATCAACCTGCAGCATGAACATATGGAAAAATAAATGATACCAGGTTCTCTGAGAAGCTATTTAATACACTAAAGAGAACCCACCATGAACTCAGTTGGGGGTTAAGAAACAAGAGGGATAAATCAAAAGAGCAAATGTGATAGCAACCAAAAAGTGGATGGGGTAAGATAAAGGCTATCAGCTTCGAAGAGATTACTCCGGGGTCTCAGGTAGAAGGGGCAGGCAGGGGCATCACACTCCTTGGGTTAGAGGAGACACAGAGCAGTCTCTCACCCCCACCGGTCACCATGGAGTTCCCTGGCAGGGTTACAATTCCTGTTATTGCCATTACAGTGCCCCAGGCATAATTCAGGCATGCCTGTTTGAGCACTGCAAGATAAACAAGAATGACTTTAACATCCAGAAACTTGCTTTCAACCCCTTGATGCCCATTTAAGTTAACCAGTGCCTTAATTCAGGCTGATACCACAGAATTACCACAGACTGGGTGGCTTCAACAACCAACATTTATCTCTCATGGTTCTGGAAGTCCAAGCTCGCAGAGCTGTGGTGTGGGGAGGACCCATGTCTTGATGTGCAGAGAGCCACCTTCTCGCTGTGTGCTCACATGACCAAGAGCGGAATCGTCTTTTCCTGTCTTTTCTTACAAGTGTCCATTCCCAAGGACTCCATCCCACTTTCCAAAGGCTCCACTTGCAAACACCATTGCATTAGGAAGTAGCCTTCAACATTTGAATTTGGGGGGACACAAACATTCAGTCCGTTACACCGAGAAAGAAAAAAGCTTCTCCAGAAAAATTTTTATAGGCTGGATCAATCTGTGAACCAAGGGAAAGGAGGAAACCATTTTTGGGATCATAGCATTATGTTTTATTTGTGAGTGAATGCAGGAAGCTCATCTGAGGGCAGGTGGCATTCCCAAGGGAGTCCAGTAGGGGGCACTAAGAGGTCAGGAGAAGGGAACGCACCTGGAAACAGCAGCCTCACGTGCACTGAATAGAAGGAGCTCTATTAAGTTTATTGTGACAGTCAATGCAGATGACCTGGGTGAGAGTGGGAGAAATTGGGATAGAAAAAGGTGAGAGAGAGACCAAGCAGGCCAAACAGCAAAAATTCAAGAATCTCTGGAAAATCATTAAATGGTACAATTTAAAATGTAATCTTTGTATGGAGATTGAAGTATACCCTGCAGATTCACAGGCTTTGTCCCTAAAACAAACTACAGTGATTTTATTCTTTACAGTATTATATTCCTAGTGACTACAAGGCAAGATGCCTCCCGGAGCTCTTGGAAATAGCTGGGCTTTTACTTGATTTCATCATGTACATGAAAGGATATGACTGTGTCAAAAGTGACACAATTAAACTTTCTTCCTGGGATTGGTTTTCTGACCCAAAAGATCATTAATAATGTTGTCTTTGGCAATGAATATCTGTAGTCATTTTCTAAATGCAATGTAGTAGCTGAGAGCAGTGGTCGGCAAACTCATTGTCAACAGAGCCAAATATCAGCAGTACAATGATTGAAATTTATTTTGAGGGCCAAATTTTTTTTTTTTTAAATATATTTTATTGATTTTGTACAGAGAGGAAGGGAGAGAGATAGAGAGCCAGAAACATCGATGAGGGAGAGTCATCGATCAGCTGCCTCCTGCACACCCCCCACTGGGGACATGCCCGCAACCAAGGTACATGCCCTTGACCGGAATCGAACCCGGGACCCTTCAGTCCCCAAGCCGACGCTCCATCCGCTGAGCCAAACCGGTTTCGGCATGAGCGCCAAATTTTTTAAACTTAAACTTCTAACGCCACTTCTTCAAAATAGACTCTCCCAGGCCGTGGTATTTTGTGGAAGAGCCACACTCAAGGGCCCAAAGAGCTGCATGTGGCTCACGAGCCACAATTTGCCAACCACAGGCCTAGAGAGTTACTACCATGTTTCCCCGAAAATAAGACATCCTCTGAAAATAAGACCTAGCGCAACTTTGGGAGAAAAAATTAATATAAGACACTGTCTTATTTTCGGGGAAACAGGGTAATAGACATGAAAATGTATTAATTGGACAGCCTCCTCCCTGATCCCCTCTCCCCATCACTACTGTGTGCCACGGCTGACAAATGTATAGGCTCCTTCGGCTTGGGGCAGATGATCTCAGGGTACCACTAACTCCGCTTAACTGAATGCCTATAGGTCCAGAAACGTGTGGCCAGTTTAAACTGTCCAGTTAACAGCTTAATCTGCCCTACACTAGAAAAAGCCAGGCTGTGCAAGAAGGAGTGTTTATTACACACACTAAAACATCTCAGCCTTAAACAGACTAAAAACATCTAGACTAGGGATATATCACACAGAACTATATGTCTTGATGTTGTGTCTACAGCAGTTTTCCAACTCTAAAGATAGAGTTAAAGGCAACTCTACAAGACAACACGATGGAAAGAGCAGAGAACTTTAATAATCCTATATAATAAAAGAGGGCATAGGCTGAGCTGAGGGACTCCCCCCTTTCCCATCCACTACCACCAGTGCACCGATCTTGAGCACCAGGCTTCTATGTTGAAATATGTAGCAAGGGGACTCAGAGCTCACAATCCATACACTTAATTACACACACCTATACATTATTTAGCTAGATCAATGCCCAAGAGAAGGAAAAAGTGAGGTGAATTTGAGCTCAGTGTTTTTCCTTTTCACGGCTTTAGTCTGCCAAGAAATGGGAAGAAAACTCAGAAGGGAGCTTTTGTGCCTGTTTATTTCATTAAAAAAATTAATAAACACTTATATAACACCATGTGCCAATTATTATTTTTAGTAATTTCTAACTATTTAATCATTTTCTCTTCAGAAAACCCCAGGAAGTGGGTCCCATTATTGAATCCATTTTACAGATTAGGAAACCAAGAGTGACATGAGATCTAGATCCCGTGGCCCATGTTCAGAGGAGATGCCAACGACCTCGCAAGATTTCCAACAATCCAAAAGAGCTTGATTTTTGATGGAAACTTTTTAGCCTAATTTTATGTTTCTTGCAAAAATCTTAATTTTTAATAGCATTTCCTTTCACAGAGCTGTTTTCTGCTCTCTGCCTTGTGCCTACTAAGCTAAGAAAAACAAGAATTTTTTTTCTTGATTTCCCACAAGGCTCTTTATGTAATAGTCAAATTTGTGCGAGGTTTGGAACAATGAACAGCTACTATCACATCTTAGCATTGCAATGTCCTTCAATTCGCCATCAGGGGGATGTTATTGTCTATTTTTCTACAGTTGCTCTACCTCTAGGAGCAGAAGCAGCTGTAGTAATTTGTAGCCCTAATTGACCCCTTTCTCCTCGGCATATTAAAATGTTGTTTGTTTCTTTCTATTTCCATTTATTAAACATAAACTCATAGGCTGTTACAACTATAAGAGATTTTTTTTTTTTTTTTTATCATCTAGCCTGAGTTTTCTTTTACAGACTGAAGGTTCCTAACCTGGTTGTGCATTGGAATCACCTGGGAATTAAAAAAATTACTAATGTCTGGGTGCACACCCAGATATTCTGATTACAGATGTTTGGGTTTTATTTGGCTATCAGACTTATTTTTTTAATATATATTTTTATTGATTTCAGAGGAAAAGGGAGAGGGAGAGAGATAGAAACATCAATGAGAAAGAGTCATTGATTTGCTGCCTTCTGCATGACCCACACTGAGGATCGAGCCTGCAACCCAGCATGGGAATCAAACCATGACCTCCTGCTTCATAGGTCCACCCTCAACCACTGAGCCACGCCCCTGGGCAGAACTTTTTTTTTTTTTTTTTTTTTTTTTTTTAGATTCCCAGGTGATTCTAATGTGCAGCTGAGAATCCCTGTTACAGATCCAGAAGAATAAATCTACCCAAGGTCAAACAATGATTTAGGGACAGAGCTGGATTTAAATTTAGCTTGATATTTAAGTCCAAGTTCCATTGTTTACTGTGTTACCTTGGGTATGTTTTAATGACTCTGAGTCACCATATTTCCAAATTTGGAAGCTGACTTGGTGGAGACCAAGGAGATATGTGTATTGAAGTCCTGTTGCTTTTTTAGGAGTCACCCCTGACATCTGTAAAATAAATTTTCTAATAAATAAAATTTGTTCTTTCAATTAATATGACAAAAACAATGACTCTCTGAGCCAGGTGCACAGAGGAAAGATAAGGAAGTTAAGAAAAAACAACAACAAAAAAAACAGAATACTTGTCAATGTGTTGAAAAACTCCTTGTATTAGTTTCTATTGCTGTGTAAGGAATTACTAAGCCCAGTGGCTTAAATTCAGCACCCATTTATTAGTTCATGGTTCTGTAGGTCAGAAGTCTGGCGTGGCATGGCTGGATTATTGCCAAGGATAGCACGAGGCTGAAGCTAATATGTCAACAAGATAGAGGTTTCATCTGAAGACCCTGGAGAGAAATCTCATTCCAAACTCGTTTGTAACCATTAGCAAAATTCAGTTTGGTTCATCTGTAGGACTGAGGTTTCATTTCCACGCTGGCTGTCAGCCAGCGGCTGCTCTGAGCTCCTAAAAGTCACCTGCCTGCCTTACTGGGTGGTTGCCTTCATCTTCTAGAAAGTGATGGCAAACCAGCCCAATCCTTTTGTGCTTCGGATCTTTGACTTCTTCCTCTGCCATTTGCCAAAGAGAATGCTCTGTTTCTGGAGGGCTCAGATAATTAGATCAGACCCATCTGATAATCTTTTGATCTCACTGTTGACTTGACTTGACATCTTCATTACAGCTCTAAAGTCCCTTCAAGCAGTACTTAGATTCTTGTTTGATTGAATAATTGGGAGACACGAATGCCAGGGGCTGGGAATCCTAGGGCCATCTTGAAATTCTGGCTATTATGTCCTACTCAAGATTCATATTTGCCTTGTAAGCTTTTTATTTCATATTCCACCCTTAGTTCTGAGAGCAGCATTACCGTATTTTTAAAAAGGTTTTCATGATGTACTAAATAAAGAACAAATCTGTTTAATAAAATAAACTAGCCTCATGGTCAGCAAACTGTGGCTCACAAGCCACATGCGGCTCTTTGGCACCTTTGCTCTTCCACAAAATACCTCAGCCTGGCGAGCCTATTTTGCAGAGGTGGCGTTAGAAGAAGTTTAAGTTTAAAAAATTTGGCTCTCAACAGAAATTTCAATCATTGTACTGTAGATATTTGGCTCAGCTGACTAATGAGTTTGATGACCATTGAACTAGTCAAACAGCCAATCAATTTAATTTTTAACATATGAGAAGTAATCAACCTTCATCTTCCACAAAAGTTACAGTAAGGAATTGTTTTCTCTCGCTTGCCATATATAAACCACCTGCAGTTCCAGCCTATTATGATCCCGTCACTGGGACAACCCCTGTGTGGCTTTGAGGGCTGCCTTTTCTCATTTGGGGCAGTAAATGAAAAAGAGCTTTTCTTTTCATTTTTCTGAGCACATTGGTCTTGCCGTTCAAAGAACCTGTAATCAGACTTAATATCAAACAACAGTTCTCATCCTTGACTGCACATTGGAAACTCAAGGGGCTTTACAAACTCCTGATGCCAGGGTCCCATCTCAGAGATTTCGGTGTAACTGGCAGGAGGACTTGAAATTAAAAGTTCTCAGGGTGATTCTCCATGCAGCCAAGGAAGGCACTCTGCTATTGACGTAGACACTAAGGGTGTGGAGAAGTTCAGGAGTGAACAGATTACTAGAAATTCCAGTATCTACAAAATCCCTTAGACTTTACAAGTATTCTTAATTTGGCCCCCGTCATGTGGAAAAGCTAGTAATGAAACACTCTGTGCATGGAAATATTGGAAAATCGCTAAGATCATTTAGTAACAGATCTGTGTTCAGAAGCCCCCTGCATCAATAATGATTGTAGGTAATATTTATTGTTTTATTGCCAGGTAGTTTAAGGACTACATCTATGTTATCTCATTTTTACCCTCACAGCAAAGCCATGAGGAAGTTGTTATTATTTCCATGATTATAAACGAGAAAACAGTCACAATCATTAAAATGCAGTCAGGATATGAGACTCGAATATTGGTCGATCTGATTTCAAAGCTGATGCTCTTAGCCTCTGAAATGCATCTATTGAAAACTTGGAAACATATAATGCACTATTATCAAGATAAGAAGTTATTTTGTCATACTCACCTATTAAATAGCATAATGTACACACTCGTGCACACTCCCACTCAGGCATGTACACATGAACAGACCCAATAATAGGATGACCTTGTTTACTAGATTTCTTAATTTTACAGGTTGTTATATTTCCTGAAAGCTGTGTTTAACAGAGTTCACCTATAGTATAAGAATCATAGTGTAACGGGGAAGAAATGGACTAGGAATGTGAATCGGTGATTCAGTGACCTCTCCCCACCCGCCTCCATACCCCAGACCAGCACCAGGACCTTAAGTTAGTGAGTGCTCCCATTGGGTCTGGTGTCTGCAGCTGTACAACAAATGTGACGTTTGCATTGAGTGG